TTTCACAATTCTAACTCCAAAGTAGTGTTGTGTGGCAGAATAATACTGGAGATTGTGAAAAACAAAGTTCACACTTTAGAATTTTTAATAAGTTTAATGAGGGATAAGAAAAGGGACAAAAGTATCCAGCACTAAGGTGTCTCTGGCCGGTTCACCAGAGAGCATGCTGTAGATTTGAAACGGTGTTATCTTTATACTGTATCATTCCTGAGGCTCATGCAGATTCATGTGTTTTAGTATTCAAACTTTCTTGCCAACAATTGATATTTCAGGCTCCCTTCTTGTTTGTTTTTTAACCTCTGACCTGCCTGCAGGATATTCTATTGATGAGGTCTTCCCGTGTTCCCATCCTGTTGTTTCACACTTGCCAAGTGTGAGGATGGAGAAAACCTTCCTGCATGCTTATGCTCTGGTTTCCATCATCCTTATCACACAGGAAATATATATCTACCACTGTGCTGACGAAGGTGAGGAATGCCAAAGCCTTTATGGCTGGGCTGCTGAAAAACATATGGCCCAACCATCTTTCCTAGGGAGAAGGAAAACTGGGAGTTGAGGAGTAACAGAAGCTTTTGAACCTTCATTTCTTTCAGTCTGCTCTCCAGGAAATGTCTCTAGGAAAAATACACTTCTTTGAATTCCATGACAAGTGGAAGAGTTGAAGCAGTGGAAAACAGGCAAACAGGAAAACATTGAAGAAATCTTACAGCCTCTGGCCTGGAGGAACCATCTTGTTGACTTTAGGTTTCCTCCTGACTTAAAAACCAATGAATTTGCTTATGCTAGCAATACTTCACAGAATCCTGCCATGTCACCAATAACAGTGCCTGCACTAGGGCTCCTCTTGAAATAACCTAATATTAAGCTGAGAGCTGAAATGTGTTACAGTATCTGGGAAAGCATGAAATGCCAGACTGCAAGCATTCAGTTAATCTACATGCACACTAATCTCTGCATTTAGTTGAGGAAACAAGATCATGAAAGCCTATGGGCTAGAAACTAGAAGTCCACAAATCTACAAATAACAGGTCAGATTTTAAAAGGGATTGTCGCTGTTGGACACTAAATGATTCACACAGACACAGCTCAATGTATGATAGAAAAAGAAATTCACACTAATGGCCTTCCACCTTGTTTTACTACTTAGGTCCCAGACAGGGCAAAACAGAGCCTGTTTTACTGCTTTCCTGCCTCATGTTAGGCAAAAGCAAATCTTGCTTCCTTCCCAGCCTGCTTGTTGCACACACACAGCGGCAAACCCCGGGGACAGCTGTAACAAGGCCCAGTGCAAAGCAGATGCTTTGGAGGCTCCAAATCCCACCTGCAGCGGCTCCGTCAGACAAGAGCAAGCTTCTGTCAGCATCCCAGCACCAGCCTGGTAGTTCCCCCCTCCCTCGTCTCCTCTCCATTCTCCCCAGCCCCTGCTCCCAAGACCTTGCCAGGCCATGCCATTTGCTGGGCTAGATAAAGGAGCGAGTTTCCTGCTCCTTTGGTGCAAATACCAAAGCTGTGAGAAGTGAGAGGATAATGTTCACTCCCGCTTTGCTTGATCTAAGGAGGTTGGTGGAGGCCCAGAGCGGGAGGCTGGTCTTTGAAAGAGAAACCGAAAGTGAGCTGCTGCTTTCTTGGATGTGTGAGGAAAAAGACACAACTTTGGGGGTTCAAATAAACTAGGGTGTTTATTAAGGGAAAAAAGAAAAGGGGAGGAAGGGATAATGGGTGAGGGAGTAAAAAGAAAATAAATTTTATAAAAGTCCCAGGTCTGAGGATTGAGGAATCCTTTGGCCGAACCGGGGTTTTGGTCCCAAAGCAAGAACTCGGCGGCACTGCAGTGAATGCTGCTAATCTGCACTCAAATTTATATAAAAAAGTCTCTAAAAGAGATGTAGACTGAAGTGTGCAGTGTCAGGTCCTCAGCTGCAGCTAATCCACAGTTAAAGGGCAGCTCTTCAAACTTCACAGGTCCTTTTATAATCTCTGTCCCCTCAGCTTGTTGCTGGCAGTCCCACCCCTGTAGTTGTTGTTGATTGGTGCTGGTAACATCTTCTCCTCCAACAGTTTGCTGTCCTTGGGGTAACTGAGGTTTTGGAGGGAAAGTTCCTCATTAGTATGCACCGTTGCCCTGGTGTCAAGTTACAAGTCTTCTGGGGCAGGTTAAAAATTCTTTCTAAGATGCTGCTGGTGAGGGGATTTGCTTGGAAAACTTTGAAAGTAACAAACTTAAAAGAGATTATTAAACTTACAAACAATGCATCAATGGCAACAAACAAATGAGTAAGGGACTACAAAAAGAGGGATAATGCTTATGACAATTAAACATTCAATTGGAACACACAAAAAACCACAACCAGTACAATTCTACAATGAACAACTTCTAAGCAACAAAAACAACAACAACAAACAATTCCACATGCAAATGCCAATCTCAGGTTTTATAGGTGACAGATGTTAATGCATGTGGATGTTAATGTTATAGAATGGCAGAGGTTGGAAAAGTCCTTGAAGGTGGCCAAGTGCATCTGTCCAGCAAAATGGAACAAAGCTGTGTTGCTTGGCGACCAAAAGTACTCAAACCCCCGGCTTTTAGCCCTCCAAGTATAATGAGACAAGCCCACTCACATAGATGCAATTCATTGAATTGAACAAAGCCTCCCTTTTCACTGCAAGCTGAGGTTTTTAGGAATCCAAGGATGAAAGCCCACCATGATTTCACTGGCACCATGGGGACACACCTTTGGAAGTCCTGCCAGCTGGGGAAGGGGCTGGGCCTGTGGGAGGATGCACGTGCCCAGATCCTTCTCAGGGCCAATAGCGTGTTTGCAACACCAAACAAATGGAACAAAGCTGTGTTGCTTGGCGACCAAAAGTACTCAAACCCCCGGCTTTTATCCCTCCAAGTATAATGAGACAAGCCCACTCACATAGATGCAATTCATTGAATTGAACAAAGCCTCCCTTTTCACTGCAAGCTGAGGTTTTTAGGAATAGAAGGATGAAAGCCCACCATGATTTCACTGGCACCATGGGGACACACCTTTGGAAGTCCTGCCAGCTGGGGAAGGGGCTGGGCCTGTGGGAGGATGCACGTGCCCAGATCCTTCTCAGGGCCAATAGCGTGTTTGCAACACCAAACAAATGGAACAGACATTGCTGGAGTGATTTCAGACAGACAAAAAGACAAAATGGAAAAAACTTTGCTTTAATGAGAAAGACAGCTTTTGTCTTCATGAAAACAAGAGAACAAAAGATGGAGCTTAACGAACAACAGCAAACCTCTTACATTGACTGATAAGAATCGAACAATAATAATCTAATAAGCTAATAATCAAATCTAATAATCAAATAATAACAATATAATAACCTACTAACCTAATAATCTAATAATCAAATAATCTAATCATCATAATAATCTAATAATCCTAATAAATCTTTAAGAAAGCTAATGAATCTCAACTATCAAATTGGGAAATGTCGCTAATAATCGAATCTAATAATCTAACAATAATAACCTAATCCTAATAACCTAATAATCTAATCATAATAATAATCTAATAATCCTAATAAATCTTTAAGAAAGCTAATGAATCTTAAGTAACAAATGGAGAAATGTCTATCTAGTCAACTAAACAGAAGAATGAATAATCCTAAAAACTTAAAAATCTTAAAAAACCTAAAAAACTTATTTCTATCTAGACCATCTGACAGATAATTTCTGTTAGCCCCAGATAAGTGGCAGGCTTAATTGGTTCTTTTCTTCTTGGGGAGAGGCCCTGCTTCCTTCCGTGCGCGATGTCTTCTCCTATGTGCGTTCCTTTCCTGCACGGTTTCAAACACCCTGGAAGACAGGAAACAAAGCAGCCATTGTTAATTCAATGCACACCATTAAAGCAAGCTCCAAGATTTCCATTTCTCCGTGAATTTCTGTCTTTTCTGGCTGTGGCACCTCTGTAAATTGATCAGAAGCATAAATCTGATCTTTCTTGTTGCAGTTCCTTCAAATGTCTTCCTCCTCTCGCTTCATCTTCTTTTGGATTTGATCAGCACCATCAAAGCAAGCTTTGGTCTACCTATTCCTACTTGTGTACGAATTGTGTCTTGGTGGGGCAGGGCAAGGTTTCCCTGGGAATGCTGGGCTTTAGCTAAGCTCTTTGGGGTGAAAGTGGCTTGTAAGGCTTTGCACGGCGGTGAGAGGCGGTCCTGCGAGTGCCCTCAGCTTCCCCTGTGGTGCCTTTGAACACGGTCAGCCTGTTTCAGTCCAAAGGCGCAGGCTTTGAGCAGAAAGAGGTAGAACTTGCGCACCGTTTGCACTGGCCGCAGGGAAAGGGGCCTCCCGCCGAATGGGGTGGCTGGGGCGCTTGGCAGCAGGGACACTCCGCGTTGCGGGCCCTCTTGCGGCTTCTCTTCCCTGTCTTCCCGTTCTCCTTTCTGGGAGGGCTTTGGCTCCTCTTTGGTTCGCTCACAGTCTGGAAATCCAAGAATCCTGATCAATTTTTCCTTCCTCTCACCAAGCTGGAAATCAGAGCGTCCAGCGCCAGAATCTATTGGCCTAAGCAAATTCCTCCCAAGCCTAAAGAGCTGGGAAAACAGCTGGATTTGGGGGCGGGCTGCAGCGGAATGCAAACACAGCACTTGGAGGAAAAAACGCCTCCTTTCTACTGCCTGAAGGGGTGGGATCCATATGTGGGTATCTATAGTTCTCCTTTTCTTAATTGGACCTCTCTGCCCAGCATCTGTTTACCCCTACTTTTCCTCCCTGTCTAGGGAATGACTTTTAAATTCAGCCAAATTCCTAAAGACACATGGTTACCCAGTTTCTACTGCCCAAACTAATCTCTCTCTCTCTCTCTCAGTGTCTGTGAAGCAAATTCTGGTTTGTCAGTAAGGAAAGTTTCAGCAGAGCCACAGCACGGGCAGCTCCTTTCTGGTGAGTACACTGGGATGCTACAAAAGGTCCCTGAACATCTGCAGAATCTCCATGAGCGCAGCCAGGATTACTGATGTTTTGATGTTTTGATGTTTGATGATCAAGGCCTGGGCAGCATCTGCTGCGCCTTTCCAGTGTACGGGACAATGTGATCCTGGCAGAGCGGTGCCTCCCAGGCTTGCCAGCAGGTTTTGTCCCCTTCTCCCAGTTTCTCCACCCTCCAGCCTTGTCTTGATTTTCTTCCCACTCACCTGAGCAAGACTTTTGGCAAGTTTATGTTCTTTCTTCCAGGTGTAGTAGTACTCCACACACTGTGCCACAGTCTTGCTCTGAACCTGTTGGGAAGAGAAGAAGAAGGAATCTAAAATGGCCATCCTGTAGGGTGCACTGGAGAACAATTGGAGAGTTCTGGAGTCACCTAGGAAGCAAAATGACGGAGTAAATTGAGTAGGGTGTAAAATGAAATAAATAAGGCATAAAAGAGGCCTTGTGCAATGTAATGTACAGTGTATGATGCTGTGTGGGAAGACATGCGATGCACAGATCAACAACAAATCCATGTAGCACAGTTTTTCTTTCCCCCATTGACTCCAGTTTTCCCCGCACCATGTGTTGTGGAAGCATCAGCGCACCTAGGAGACCAAATCTGACAGAATAAGCCTTTGTGTTCCAAAAGAGCTTGGAGGAAAGGGCCTTTGAGGCAGAATCACCCCTCTCTTGCAGGCCTTTGATGTCCCGTTTCATTATTACTTGCTTCTTTTTGGTATTTGAGAAGAGAGACTGGATTCCACCATCTGGTAGAACAAATAACCAACATTTCCTCCTGATGATCTGCTAGGGTCAAGAATGTCCTATGGCTTTACCTGCTTCTGGATGAGATGAGCGATTTATTCTGTCATTTCAATATTTATAGATTCTCAACAACAACCAGGGATTGGATAGTCAGGGTATTGCCTTCCCAACCACACTGGCCTTGAGAAACATCCATCAAAACACATTTCTTTAATGGAATATATAAACATCTATGTTTATAATTGCTTACCTGGGAAAGTGGCTTGAAACTATGAAAATAAGATGAGAAGGGTTAATTCTCAAGGCACAAGGGATCATAACTAATTGTGAAAGTACAGCTTAGCTAGAAATGCAATCAGGAGGATTAATGTGTTTGCACATTTGCTCAGGCGGTGCTGAAGTGGTGACACTGAGCAGGTTCTTAAAAACAGGGCATAGGTGAAATAGAAGTGGTGGCCATCATGTTGGAGTTGAGTTATATGGAGTATGTTGTACAGAAGTAAATTGAAAAGACAAATATGTTTTTTCTGGGAGTTTTTCTGTTAGTTGAAGTGTCTGAGACCCAAATGTCATCTACCTTAGCCAGACTTACCAGGCGTGATGCAGACTCTGCTAAATGAAAATGTATTACAGTGTTGCAGAGGTGAACAGGTCAGCATCAAAGGCATTTCCAGTATAAAAAAATCTGTTTAATCTATCTGTGTGTCTAACCTCAGCTAATGAACAGCTCTGACCACACACTTGAACTAACTCTGCAGGTGGGGGCTAAGTGCTCTAAACTTTCAGAAAAAAAATATAACAGGGAATTGTATGACAAAATAACAACTAGAAGGAAGAGGAATATATAAAAGGATCTTTTTTCTTCTACTGCTAAGCAGTTAACAGAAATTTGTCCTAAAGAAGAGACTGTCCAGAGAAGATGAGATAGTCACCTCTGACTAGATATGAGACTTTCTGTGGCTCACACTGTTACAGAAGTTCTTAAACTACACATGTGCATGTAAGGAACATGAGTTACTCATACTGCAGAAACTTTATTAGCAGTGTGATACAGTTTAAGATGTGGTCAGTTAAGTGTGGGCAATGTTGAGGTATTGTAGTTGTTGCAATATTGAGGGGGCTTGTCTGATTTTGACCAGTTTGGGCAGTACCCTGAAGAATCAAGAGGGGAGAGACTTACCCTGAAGAATCAAGAGGGGAGAGACTGTATATCCTTTATACACATACTGGCCATTCCCCATTGAAATGTTATGTTCTTACAGCCAGTTGTGGCAGGATGTCAGAAAATGGGCTACAGATCAGAGAAGAGCTTAAAGAAGAGAGATTTGAAAGACACATCAGTGAAAAGACTTGAGGAAGTAAATCTACTTATGCAGAAGAGAAGTGGATCATCAAGAGGTTAATGAGTGACTGCAGCAGCTTAACAATAGCTCTTAGGAGTTCTGAAAGCTATGAAAGAGAATTCATAATAAGGGAAGTTTTTTAATGATTCAGTGATAGATAATGCATGGAATTGGCCTGGGAAAGAGAAATGACTGCAACATTATAAGCAGAGTTTAAGCACCAATACAGAAAATCCTAACCTACTCCACTGCATTTTTTTGCTACAGATATTCTTACTGTCAGAAGCCAGTAATGGAGATTAAGATGGTGTAAAAGAGGAAGCAAGTTTGGCTGCAATTTAAAAGTCTGAAGAGCACAGCGGTAGTGCAAGACAGAGCAGGGGTAGGAGATGTTTAGACTTAATATGAGGCAATAGGCAGTGGCATTCCAGCTCCAAGGCTGCCCCCAGACAGATGTTGACTGTGTAAGTGGCCTGACTCCCCATAGCATGGCTTGCAGAAAAAGCTGTGAAACAAGGAAGGCCAATTGGTTTGTCCTTTTCCTCCAGTCTTTTCTAACTCAGTGGATGGACATAAGCAAAATAACAGTCTTGTCACTAATCTTTTTCTGGCAGTTCTGGTAGGGAAAACTTGTCCCTTTCCTTCTGGCACACTGAAAATCAAACACATTTCTCAAGAAAATGTATTGCAACAAAAGTTCCTTTTTTGGGATGGCTTTAAATTTCTCTACCAGATATTCCAGAAAAAAAAAAGTCTCTTAATTTAATTTTCATCTACATTTGCATTGCATTTTAGCTTTTAAAAAATGTAAAATACATTTTCCTCATTTTTAGCTTTGATTTTCAAAACTAAGTTAACTTCTACTTCTCTATCATTGTGCACTTTGAAGAAACAAAATAAGAGATCACAGGAAGAGCAATTTCCTCCAAAAGTCCCTTCTCCTTCTCATTCTTCTGGTCCCCTTTCTCTTTGGAAAGAAGTAAAGAAGAAAGAATTGAAAGAAAGTGAAACAAAAGGAAGCAAAAAGATTAAACCTTTTCAGACATAAAAAAATTATTTAAAGCACTCATTTTGAAGCACAAAAAACTTTCTGGTTTTTTTACTTTTAAAGTTGAAATCTATTTTAAAAAGACAAAGTAAATGTTTTCATTCTTCCCTGACATAAAATCCAAATTGCAAAGAATGTGGGACATTGCTGGAAAATATTCTGGTGAAAAGTGTATGCCAGTCTTGCTCTCTGCCAGTGGTAACAGCAGCATGAATACCTCAGAAGGCAAATTACATTTTTGTAAGCCTATTATCTCCATGTCTTGCTATCCTGACATATATATGACCCTAGTTCTTAAAGTTGTTTTTTGCAGATGTCCTTAACAGCCATTTACTTTTCTGGCTGGAGACCACCACTCATTTTTTTTTGTAGTACTGCTGGTCCCATTGTGTCAACAGCACTTATTTTTGAACTCTGCCACTTGCACTGACAGATACACTGAGTAAGAATGATATTTCAGGATTCAATGAGAGCAACATTTGTGTGCAAATTTCTCTTCATCTTTCTTCATTCTGTTCTTCTGTCTCCCTTGGTCCCATTGTTGGAAAGAGAAAACTTGCTATGCCTGACTATGACACAGAAATCTGCATTTAGTCAAATACCAGGATGTTTGCTCTCATTTGTCTCTCTGTAGCTGCCTGAGCTCATCTGCACAGTATAATCTGTGTTTGACAGAAACAGAGTTTAGAAAACTTTTGTTGGTATTTTCATAAAATGTTGAAATTATATTTTATTTTAAAAACAATTCCCTTTTATTTCTGCGTCAGCTGCTTCAATTAGAATATATCTCTCTGATTAAAAGCCATTTGGGTGAAAACCTTTACTTTCTTGCAAGCATTTCACCAGTGCTCAGCACTTTCCCATGCCTGCTGAGATCAAACAAGAAGAATGCTTTGTTTTGCACCTCCTAATAGTGTGCTGTAGGGTATTTATCCCATGGTTGCCTCCCTGAAGTCAAGAGGACTACTGATGTCACTCTGAGCAGTCCAGCAGTCCACATCACATGGTGATGCTGGGAAGGAAATGGTGCTGTGCCATTAGTCTCATGTCAGCACCTACAGGAGCAAAACCCCTGTGTGTCCAGCACGGGACCTTGGGCACCACAAGCCCAAAGGCAGAGGACAGTCCCTGGTGGTTCCTGCACCAGCTGAAGCTCAGCAACTCCAAATGAAAAGCCCAGCTCTGCTGTGGCCTTGGCAGAAACAACTCTTGGGGGTGCCAAAGATTTACATGTTGTCTTGAAACCTCATGATTGAGCAAACTTTCCAACATGGAAGGGGCTTTTGTTGGTAACCAGGGACATGTTTTTCAGCATTTATTTTTATTTACTTTTTCTCACCATGAAATGTCTTGCCTGAGGCTTTGTGTATCCCACTGCATCCATATCCATTGCAAGACAAAAAGCAAATTATTTCCACTTTTCTTAGAGAGGATAAGAAATATTTGAAGCAGGTCCAGTTCTGATCTCCTTTCCACTCTTCTTCATAACAAATGCAAAAATATGTCAAGTAATAAGCAATTTGTGTATGTGCAGGCCTAAGGGACAGAACCCACCCCCCTCCCACTGCTTCGTGAAAACACAGCAAATAGAACCAGTCTCATTCAGTCACTGGTACCAAGTTGCTCATTACTCTGATTTAAAATAAAACTTAAATGGAACAAAATCACCTTATTTCTCCTCCAGCAAGATGCACAGATGCCTTCAGATGCCTGTTGAGGGCAGTAGTTACGTTCCCCATCATTTGAATAAATTGCAGCAGCCACTGTTCCTCAGAGCTAGATACAGTTAATTGCTCAGATTAGACTTTTCCAGACTGTGTTAACACACACAGTTCTTTCTCGTAAAATGTAGGTAAGAGCTGCAGATTTTACTGAGCTAAGAGTAAGATACAGTATCTCTGCTTGAGGTCTGCAATAATACAATATTACTGTTGATTTATTTCCACATTCATTTGGTGCATTGGTGTGTCAGTTTTCCTGTTTTCTTTAGGTTCCTTCCCTTGAAAATTGCTTCAGGACCTCAGTGGTTCACTAAACCTACAATCTTAGGACATCTCTCTTCACTGTAGGATGCCATCCAAGTCACTTCAATGAGTCTGTTCACACAACAATGTGCACAATTTATTAAGCAGGGCCCCGGAACAGTGCCTGAAAATGAACTGAGTTGCCAAATGTCCACTGTTTCACTGGGAGATATTCTTTAAGATTTGAGTAAAACTTTTTTTTTTCTTTTTCTTTTTTTCTTTCCCCCAGAAGATTTTGCACTATACTATCATTTAGAAAGAAGAGGAGGCAGGGATAATACAACCTGCATTGTTTGCTATGAAAAAAACTTCCTCTGAATGTAAAGTGCTTCTTAAGTTTTATCCTCACTAATTTCTAGGCAGACACTGAATTTCAGAGATTACAGTAAATTGCACAGTCAGAGTTCATCTTTGTTCAATATGACTCTTAAGCACATGCTCACTTTTAAATCCAATCCTGTGCATACATGCTTTGCTGATCACAGTCAGAGATTTTGTGTTTCATTTGGGTTTTGAAATCACATATTCTATTCTGGTGTTATGCAAAGAGGCAGCATTAGGAGCCCAGGAACTGCATCAGCTGGGACAGTTGATATGCATTTTAAGTCAAGGACACACACATCACAGGTATTGTACGTGCCATAAACATGTAACTTGCTCAGTACATATGCAGC